CTGGGTTAGTTGGACCATTGGTCTGACCCAGGATGGTAGTTCTTATATTCTTATAGGCAGTGCAGGTAGCAGTGCTTATACTTAAGGTTATCTGACACTTTCCATTCTAAGACCCTGTTTTCAGTTGCTTGTAACTTTGTCAAACTATAACCATTCAGACTGAAATTTTCAATGCTGGGTGACTTCACAGTCTGAATTATGTGGGATGTTTCAGTTAAAATGGTTCAGCCTTTCCAGCGAACAAGGTTAGAGAAAAATACATTGTCTTGTCCATATTAAAAATAACAGAATGGCTGTAAGATTTTGTTTTAAATTTTATTTTGAGAAGATCTAGCACTTCCATGCTACAGAGGAGGGACTTGAAATTTGGCAGGGGGAGTCACCATGGTGCCATCTCTATAAAAATTTGCCCAAAGGTCAGCCAAGTTCTGAGCCTCCGAGTAACCACAATTTGCACATGCTCGGTAGGGATTTGTTTGACAGTGACATTCCCTGAAGATTCCCTCTGCACTGCACACGCTAGTGACTTTGAGAACTGTAATTCTCACTGGTCATAGCAACAATGGGTGACAGGGCATGAGAGATCTTGATGTGGTGATAGCTATTTCTACTGGTGGTCCTGTCTTCACTACATCCTCCACCTCTAGGGTCCCAGAAGAGCTGCATTGCTGTTGAATCACAGTTATGACGTTTGTAGATTCAGCCTCATGGATTCTAACAGTTTTCAACTTTGTAAATGGATGTTTGTCCCCTTTATTTTTTTCCGGTTCCCTCTCCTCATCGTGCAGCTCTCTTTAACCTGCAGGCCTTTGCTGAGTGGTGGCTCTGGGAGTTCCTGGAAGAATGTCTGCAGTGCACCTGTTCACCTTCCCCTGCAGAAAGCTGCTCCTTGGAGCTCCGTGGGCCTTTCAGAGACAGGCTGCAGCTCCCGCCCCAGATCTGCCATTTCACTAGCCGTGGAGGTGAGAGTTGAATTACAGCCCATGAAAACTGTAGGTTCCATTCCCGAGTCCCAGATCGCTGCCGCTAATTTTTGGTGCTCGTGCAAATGAATGACTGGGTTAGCCTGGGCAGGTGTGGGGCAGGCCTCTGCACGCCACTCCGCTGAAGAGCCACAGCCCGGTCCTGGAGCCCCATCTGCTATTCTAGTGCTGGGCTCCCTCTGTGACTCTGGGCCACTGGAGTCTGAACACTGACCCTTCTGAGGTGACGGGGCCTGAACCCTTGTCATGTGACTTGGGACTGGACATGCAGATCGTTCTCTCGGCATCTCAGCCCTGCTCAGCCCCAGGCCCTCTTATTCTGTTTCTTTGTCAGCCAGCATGCGCCCTACATTCAAACAGTTGTAATCCGAGCAGGTCTTAGGTCAGTTTATGGAAACCCAAATGTTAGCCCCTTAGGTGCGATTTCTCTAGCTGGAATATCCTCTCTGGAGGGATTGTCTCTTGATTTGCATAGAATCTGTAATAAGCAAGGTTTCCAAGAACAGTAGATGTGTGAACAGCACTGTCTATATACCCACCTTGGCTGCAGTCCTGGGGCTTGTCTACTACACAAACGATTAGTTCATGGCAAGTTGGGGTGTGAATCTGCCCCCCACTAGCCTGCTGTGCACTAACTGTTGTGGACCCTGCTGATGCACAGTAACAGTGCGTTAATGCACTTTGATCTAGTCCTCTTTGAAACAGATTAGATCAAAGTGCATTAAGGAACTGTTAGTGCATGTCAGCCGGGTCCATGTGGACCAGTGGTTCTCAACCGGGGGTACATGTACCCCTGGGGGCACACACAGGTCTTCCAGGGGGTACACCAACTCCTCTCGATATTTGCCTGATTTTACAACAGGCCACATAAAAAGCGCTAGTGAAGTTAATACAAACTAAAATTTTATACAGACAATGACTTGTTTATATCGCTCTATAGACTATACACTGAAGTACAATATTTATATTCCAATCGATTTCTTTTATAAATACATGGGAAAATAGAGAACGTAAGCAATTTTTCAGTAATAGTGTACTTTGATATTTTTGTATTCTTATGTCTGATTTTTGTAAGCAAAGGTTTCAGAGTAGCAGCCGTGTTAGTCTGTATCCGCAAAAAGAAGAACAGGAGGACTTGTGGCACCTTAGAGACTAACAAATTTATTAGAGCATAAGCTTTCGTGGACTACAGCCCACTTCT